GGGAAGCTTGACTACTTTCAATGAAACTTACCATGATCAACCAAATGAGTTGTTGTAAGTATTTATTTTTATGCAAATTGAATGAACCAAAAGAGCATTACAAATGGAATGAAGGAATTAAGCCCATGATATATCACTTAATCTTAACCACTGGATCAAGAACTCACCGATAATTGTTGCAATACATGAGTTGGAGAATGAAATTACATGGACAAATCAGCTTTATAGGTAACATAATGGCATTAATTCCTACATTCAACCTAGTGAACGTGCCAATTTTAGCCGTTCATACCCATAATATGCAAATCATAAGATTTGAATAATGACGTACAATTCGCTATCGAAACAATTATATTGTGATGAAGAAATATTTGGGCACAACACTAAGTAAATCCACATGTTATACTTTGTTGTGAATCTTGTGATCGTATAGTAATGAATGTGCAACTTTCTTCAAAATGAAGACCTTCACACACAGACACACTATCTAATATAATAATATTCAGAACGAAGTATAAAAGTATTAGATATGCCCCCTAGCTAGGAACGACTTGACAAAGGGTTGTATTTGTTATGTACTTATGTGGTCTATTTTTAAATTTTTTATTTTATTTTATTTTATTTTATTTTAAGCTTATTATGTATTTATTCTAGGAGTAATATAATATATACTTATACTCCTTATAATATAACCTAGCTCACTTTGCATCTCAATCATCCACCCATCATTATCAATAATGACATTTATCATTTCGTTGCTTGTGGATGTAGCCAATGCATTATTAATTAGTATCCTTTTTATATCAGTGAAACACATAAACTGTTAGGAAATAAGGGTGGAATTGTTTTTGAGTTATGCGGAAAAAGTAATTGAAAGATAAGACCGAGAAAAGCAATAAAGAAAATAAACAAAAGGCACAAGGAGGATTTACGTGGTTTGGTCAAATTAGACCTACATCCACGGGTGGGGGATTCGAGAGCTTCTTTACTACAATAGTGAAAGAACGAGAGATTAATACAAGGAGTCCTAATTTCAATGGCTCTATTAGGTGTGATCTAATTGATCACCTTAAGGGTCCTTTTATAACACAAGGAAACCCTAATAAAACCCTAAATTGTTCGCCAAGTATATCTCAACTAGCCGTCATGTGGAGAAATTAGATTTTAAGAAAATCTTCACACGGACTACATGGTCGTGTGTTGAGAACCACACGGCCGTGTGAATTGCTAAGTAGTAGCGTAGACTACATGGTCATGTATCATGATGAATTACATGGTCGTGTACCTTTTTGGTCACCGATTCAAGGCATATTCCAACATAAACCTATGCACGTGTATTTTAATAATGATACATCATACAAGTAACACTTTGTGTCCCATATCTCTATAATTGAGATAATTTAATGCAGTTGGTGAATGGTGGTGAACGATGTTGCACGTACACAATAATCAAAACTATTGAGACTTACAATGAAATACCATGCGATAATAGAGGATATATATGCGGAACCTTGTGACCATCTTTGATCTGGCCTACCCTTTGCTGGTCCCTTAAGCTTTGACTTGTGTTTCTTTAAAAAATAGGAGAGTTTAGGAAAAACCTAATTAATAGTACGTATATTTTAAGAGAGAAACCTAAATTACTTGATTTAATAACAATAACGAGCAAACCTCAGTTCATAATCTAGAAAAACAAATTATGTTTATCAAATAACATTTTAGTAAATAAGTTGAATTAAAATCTGTGTTTTTTTTATTAAAAAAAATATTTTTACTATTTGTGGGCCATTGTGATAAGTTGGACAGAACTTTTAGAGTTAACAACATTAACTCCTATTCACCTTCTTCTTCCTCCCACCTTCTTCTTCAAGTTCATCTTCTTCTCCCTGTTCATATTTTTTCTTCCTCCCAACCTTAATCTTCTTCCTCCAATCTTTACATACCCACTTTCATCTTCTCTTTCAAGTCGATTTGACTCCATTTCCGCCGATTTTGCCGACGAAATTAAACAAAAACCCTGATAACAAAAGGAGAAATTAATAGCATGGTTAACCCTAAAGAGTAGTTGAGTTTTCCTTCCTCCATTGTTTGATTTAGCACCACCATTTCCGGCGGCAAATAACAAAGTGAAAATAACGGGGTGATATTTTCTGAAATCAGAGAGAAAATCTAAAGAGGATTGAGAGAAATCAAGCTAAATAGAAACTGTGTGTATTTTTCATTATGAGTGAATGAATAGATTATTACAGCTTAGAGTTATATATAGATTATATTACATAAAGAAAGATCTAGAAGAAAGCCTAACAAACTTTCTGAAAGAATAACAAACTCTTATCAAGTTGCTGTAACAACCCGGGTCTAGCTGGCAGTCTGCATAACAAACTCCGATGACCTAGCAGCAGCTTATAACTACCTTGCTGATGTTTATGTACATGCTCAATTCTTCCCTTCAAGTTGGGCAATGTATGATCCTGAGAATGCATTCCCAACTTGTGCAGAAGAGAATGTAACTGAGGTGAAGGTAGAGTTTTAGTGAACAAATTAGCCAGTTGATGATATGAAGGAATATAAGCCAATTTGATCAAACCTTCAAACACTTTATCTCTTGTGAAGTGATAGTCGACCTCAATATGTTTGGTCCTTTCATGAAACACAAGATTGTATGCTATATGTTGTGCAGTCTGATTGTCACAGAATAGTATGACTGGCTTCAAGTTTTAAATACCAAGTTCTTCAAAAAGTCGAACTGCCTAAGTAAATTCAAAGGCAGCATTGGCCATAGCCCTGTATTTTGCCTCAACAGAATATTTAGAAACCAAACTTTGCTTCTTGAATTCCAGGCAACAGGAGATTTACCAAGCAACATCACACATCTAGTAATAGATCTCCTAGTAACAGCACAGCTTGCCCAGTCAGAGTCTGTAAAAGCGTACAAGGAAAGTGCATATGAGGCTCTTAGTAAGATGCCCTGTCCCTTAGTATGAGCTACATAGCTTAGGGTGTGAATAAGGGCTTGCAAATGAGAAGAGTGAGGATGCTGCATGAATTGGCTTAAGGCTTGAACAACAAAAGAGAGATCAGGTCTTGTGTGAGTGAGAAAGTTTAGTTTTCCCACCAAAGATTTGTAATGTTTAGGATCAGGGATAGGATCACCAGAATTCTGTTGAAGCTTTAAGCTTAAAGGAAGAGGTGTGGCAGCCCTATTCTTCAGCACTAAATCACAATCATGAATCAACTCTATGGTAAATTTCTTTTGGCTTAACAAAATGCCATCTGAAGTATAACCAACTTCTAAACCAAGAAAATAACTCAGCTTCCCCAAGTCTTTGATGCTGAATCTCTAATGTAAATCTGATCTCAAGTGCACCATGGCTTCAGTATCTGTGCCTGTGAGAATGATATCATCCACATAGACAACTGCCACACATATTAAGCCATCTCTTCTTTTTATAAAGAGACTATCATCATTCTTGGACGGTTCAAAACCCATTTCAAGTAAAGAATGAACTAGCTTGTTAAACCACTGTCGGTCTGGAAGCTTGTTTAAGGCCATAGATATATTTTCTAAGGCTGTAAACCTTATTATCTGGGTTGTCAAAACCATCTAGCACTTTCATATAGACTTCCTCTTTCAGATCACCATGTATAAAGGCATTGTTCACATCAAGTTGGAACAAATCCCAGCCTTTGCTTGCTGCAACATCAATGGGACCTCTAATTGTATACATCTTCACTACTGGGCTGAATGTTTCCTCATAGTCTATGCCATAGTTCTAATTAAAGCCTTTAGCAACCAGCCTATCTTTACACCTCTTCAGCTTACCATTAGCTTTTAACTTGACTTTAAACACCCATTTACAGCCACTAGCTTTCTTACCCTTAGGCAAATCAACCAAATCCCAAGTGCCATTATTGACAAGAGTTGTAATTTCTTTCTCCATAGCCTCTATCCATAAGGGATTAGTTGTAGCTTGAGAATAATTGAGAGGTTCATGAATATCACAAGTATGAGCTATGAAACACTTATGGTCTTCAGGAAAATCATTGCAAACAACCAGATTACACCAGTGTTCTGTATCTGGCTCTTCAAATTTTCGTTCTGGTATAAATGCTGAGTAGCATTGATATATATCAAAGTGAGAAGGAAATTTGTCAGGTCTGGAAGATTTCTTAATCAAATTCTAATATGCATTTACAGAATCAGAGTTTTGAAAATCATGTGCATGCTGAGAAGGAGAAATAGGAGGAGAAGAAGAAATATCATGAGAAAAGGAATGTGAGAGAGAAGAAGAGTCTATAAGAGAATGAGAAGAATGTGAGGAATGAGAAGGAGTAGGTGAAGTAGAAGAAATATCATAAGAGGGAAATATAAGATCAGAATGAGATGTATCATCAGACAGAAATGGATTTGAAGTGGAAACAGGAAGATATATAGCATTTGAAAGTACAAAAGTAGGATTCTGACTGATGTAATGAAGGTGATAGGGAAAGTGTTTTTCATGAAAGACAACATTCCTTGTCACCTTGATTTTTGAGCTAGAAAGTTCAAGAATCTTGTATCCTTTCTAACTCACAGAATACCCAAAAATACACATGGCTCAGCTATTTCAGCTAGCTTGTTCCTATGCACTCTACCAGTGGATGCAAAGCACAAACACCCCAATGTTGTTAAATGTGAAATATCTTGAACAAAACAATTTAACCTCTGAAAAGGAACTTCATCATTAATCACCTTCAGAGGCATTCACTAGTAGAAAAACTTAAATGGGCACCGCCGAATGCGCACCGGTTTTTAAAAACCGATGCGAAGAAAAATAGGCGGGATTAAGGGAAAGAGTTTTCGCACCAGTTCTAACCAAACCGGTGTGAAAAGTGAGTAAATCGCACCGGTTCAGTTCAAACCGGTGCGAAAGCTATTGTAAAATAAAAAAAAACCGGTTATTCTTTCTTTCTCTTTTTATTTCTTGATCTTTCCTCCTCTAGCTCTCATCTACCTCTCTCTCCCCTCTCTCTCCTCCATTGAAGCATACTCGAAATTCTCCATTGAAGGGGCTTCTGAGCTTTCTCTCCTCCACTAAAGTAGTCTCAAAGGTTAGATGCTTCTTTTTCTTTAATCATTGACCTAATTTAATTAATTAATTGTCACTATATACTCAATTTAGGGTTCTTTGAAGTTGGATAATTGAACTATTGGTTATAGATACTTGAAGAACTTAACATAATTTTTGGAGTCTAGTTTGATAATCGAGTCAATTTTGGTTGCTAATGTGTTGCAGGGTTTGGTTTGTGGAACGTACTCGAAATTCTCCATTGAAGTGGCTTCGGACTTTCTGAGCTTTCTCTCCTCCATTGAAGCAGTCTCTAAGGTTAGATTTGCTTCCTCGGGATTCACAATGAGGTCAGTTTTATCAAGTTCTAACTCTGTTTCAACTTAAGTAGGGGTTTTCAATTTTTTGGAATTATTTTGGATTTTTTGGTCGATTTGTTCGAGAATGTTCACTTTTTGTGTTCCATGAATCGGGTTTACAAGATTTGAGGAATACCTAGTTCAAAATTTGATGGTTTACACTGTTTTTTGATGCTAAATTGATGGATCAAAACCCTAAATCTTCAGTTAGGGTTCCATAAATCTCAAGTACTGTTGTTCATTTCGTGCATTTTGCTTTGATTTTCTTTGTTTCGGGATTGAGGGGAAATTTCTTTGTTAAATGTATTGGCAGAGAAATTTAAGAATATTGCACAAGAATTTTCTATCTTAACATCACATATGCGATTTTCTGAATATTGAAGCTATTCTCTGTGTAAAGAGTTAAAAGTATGTTATATTTTAGCTGCAAATACAATCTTGATATATTTAAAGGTAATGCCTTATATATTTACATTAGCCCTTTGTTCATTGAACTGGGAGAAAAGATGAACAAAGTGTGTTCATGATCTTTGGTTCGATGTATGCTGCTGTGTTGTTCTTGGGACTAAACAATTGTTCTACTGTTATTCCATACATTACAGCAGATAGAACTGTCGTTTATCGGGAAAAATTTGCAGGGATGTACTCCTCGTGGGTTTATTGTTTTGCACAGGTATAGAATCTATTCATGGTCCCATTACTCCCATTTGAACCTTTGTACAATTGTCTAGCTCTTAAAATTACAAGGAAACAGGTTCAACACACTAGTACATTGGTATAACCCAAAAAACTTGTTTTGCTTCATCGTAAAGTAGTCTCAATCTTTTTCAATGCATACAAATGAGTATTTAGGTCTATTTTAGTTACATAATTCTCCCACTCCATATATTTTTAGTCATTTTCTTTGAAATTTTTTTTCTTTTTCCCTTCTTTATTATGCGGTGATTTGGTGGGAAAGGGGAAGGGGGAGGGGCTTGCTTTCTACTTTGGTCAAACAACTTCATCTGTTGCTTTAATTTATTTTATGTTCCTTCATTTTCTCATTTCGCTTATTTAGCTGTTGATTTGTAGGTCACTGTTGAGCTTCCTTATCTTCTTACGCTAGCTCTAATATTCACAATTGTTACAAATCCGATGATTAGGTATTATTTATCAGCGTACAAGTTGTTCTGGTACTTCTATGCCATGTTTTGTACTCTGGTGTATTCGATATGATGCTCGCATCATTGACAGCGAACTACCAACTGGCTACAATTATAGGAGCATCTACCTATTCGTTGATGAATTTATTTGCTGGATTTTTGATACCTCTACCGGTTAGTCACCTCTTTCAAATGTTCCCTTAACATACTTTAATCTATGTAACATTATGTCCCCAAATTGGCTACTGATGTTGCCAAATAAATGGTGAAGATGATGAAAGGAAGGCAGGGACAACAACAAGATATAGCTGGTCCTTGTAGTACTGTGAATTTTGCAGGTATCATATCTGTTTCAAGTGCTAATTCTGCTTTGACATGTTTTCAAACATCAGATTGGATATAGTTGATACTGGTGCTACAGATCAAATGGAGTGTGATAAATCTTTGTTTTCTTCATGTCATATTTTGCTTAAGCCTATTATAGTAGGGTTACCAGATGGTTGTACTAAACATGTTACTCATGTAGGAAATGTGGTTTTATATCTTTAAATTTCTCTCAAAAATGTCTTACTTATTCTGGATTTTAAACACAACCTTCTTTCGGTTGGCAGACTTGTTAAGGAAAATAATTTGTTTGCCATTTTTAAGCATGATTCATATGTTTTTCAGGATTGTACAACTAAGCAAATTAGAGCTCTTAGATCTAAACAAGCTGGATTATACAAGTTCATTTGTTCTTTTTCTTTTCCTGTTTGAATAGTTTTTCTTTTTTACTTTCCCTGCAAGCTAGTGTTTCTGTACCTAAGCTTAGTTTATTGCATGCTAGGCTTGGTCATATTTCTGTACAGAACATGTCTAAATTGACTGTTCCTTTTGATTCTAATAAGACAATTGATTTTTGTTGTGAATCATGTGTTTTTTCTAAAGCTCACAAATCTCCTTTTCCTTTGTCAAAATCTCATGCTACTTTTCCTTTTGAGTTAATACATGTTGACCTCTAGGGACCTTATAGGCAAGCTACCTTAACTAGTGCTCATTACTTTCTCACAATCCTTGATGATTGTTCAAGGGTTACTAGAATTTTCACCTCTCATCTGGTTGTTGTGTCTACAAAGAGCCCAAGGTCTGATAAGCAGTATATCTGGGAAGCAGCAGCTGATAGTAACTCATATGTAATCAGGGAAGAGACCTGAAAAGATCCTGAAACATGGAACAGAAATCACACTTACAGTAATTTCATATGTTTTATACTTGCTTATTCCATATGTTGTTACTTACAGTAATTTCTACCGGGGTTTAAAAATTCTTTCATGTTTGTGGGAACTTTGATGTGTGTGCCGTTTACATTTCCTTCTATGATTTCTGCAATTTGCATATTGGCTGGATAAATCATTTTTGTTCAAGCTAGAAGCACATTTTTAATATGCCTTTTGTATGGCTTAATAATCCCTATTAAGTTGCATAAGCTCATTTGTTTAGTTGCTTACTAGCTTGTGTGTCGTGAGGAAACTTGAGTGTTTTCTTGCTCATATACTTGCTAATCCTTTTTTCATTTTCCGATTTCCTTTCAGCCTGATGACAATATGAAATCTCAAAGCCTGCCAGAATCCAGAATTTGGTGAACAACTATTCACAATTTGTTTCATTTCCCATCTACACATGGCTAGAAAAATCAAGAACTGTGGAGGTAACATGTTTTTCCTTTTACATGTAGTAATTTCTATTTTAAGTTTATGAGAAACATATAAATGATACTTGTATAATCCTGAATCCAATGGATTTTAGGTATGACAATCGATCTAATCTAACTTAATTAACTCAGCAGAACAACAGTAGCAGTGCAGACAGAAGACACACAACAGCAAGAACACCTTGCAACACACTGCATGCAACATAACAGGCATGCAGAAGCAGAGACAAGCTAGCAGCATGCAGCACAGAAACCAGCAGCCTGAACCAACACACACCACACACCAGCCAGAAACAGAAAGCAGTAGCCAGCAACAGCTAAACACACCCTGCAAACAGAAACCAGCAACCAGACACAAAGCAAGCAACACAACCAATAGAAAACAACAGCTTACAAAAGGAAAGTAGACCTTGCTGTTAAATCAAGGGCTCAGCTTCTCCAGACCTTGATTCTGTAGTTGGGTTTTTTTTTTTTTTTTTTTTTTTTTTTTTTTTTCCAGTTTTTTAAAGTGTAATATTACAAGTTATTGAAGAAAATATATGTGTCTTATGTATATTATGATTATATATAAGTATTTGGTACAATTTAAGTGAAAAAAATGCAAATTTTTTTTATTTATTAATTTTTTTTATTTTTTGGGGCATTTTTGGCACCGGTTATGAAACAGAACCGGTGCTGAAAGTTTTTTTAAAAAATTTTTTGGGCCATTTTTCGCACCGGTTCACAGCAAAAACTGGTGCTAAAAGGTTTTTTTTTTTTTTGGGCTATTTTTCGCACCGGTTCACAGCAAGAACCGGTGCGAAATCTTTTGGTTTTGGCATCCCTCAAATAGAGAATGGTTCAAAACCGGTGCTAAATGGGGGTTTTGAACCGTTGTCCATTTGTATTTTTCACCTAGTGATTCTATTAATCAAGTAAACAACACACAAAACACTTTCCCCCCAAAATCTATCTGGCACTATAGACTGAATATACAAAGCTCTTACAGTCTCTAAAATATGTCTATGTTTCCTCTCTACCACACCATTTTGTTGCGGTGTATCACTGCAATTAGTTTGATGCAAAATACCAAACTGATGAAACATAGCATTCATATCTCCTTCACACAAATCTTGAGCATTATCTGACCTTACAACTTTGATTTTGGAATCAAATTGAGTAGAATTCATGTGAATGAAATCAGACATGATATTGACTGATTCAATTTTATTACTCATCAAATGCACCCAAGTAAATCTTGAGTAATCATCTACAATAGTAAAAAAAATCTAATTACATCCAGAAGGTATTTTTACAGAATGTGGGCCCCAAACATCAATATGAATCAGTTCAAAAGGTGTAGTACTCTTTATTGAACTACTAGGGAAAGGTAACCTAGCTAGTTTGCTTTGCTTTAAGACACACTTGACAAATAGTGTCATTTAAGCAAGCCTTAACATCACAGTCAGGTCTAACTACCTTAAGTTGATCAAAAGACAGATGTCCTAATCTCAAATGCCACAGTTTTGCATCTTCTATTGCTGCTAAATAAGTCTTATTCCCAGCTTGAGCAGAATTGCCTACTTCACTTCCCTGCTGCTCTTGAAAATTGTACAAACACGCTTTCAAACTACTAAGAAGAATCGACTGACCTTTCTGTGTGTGCACAAAACACTTATCATGAGTAAATGCAACTCACACAACATATGTTTGCATAATTTGTGCACAAAAAAAAATTGTACTTAAAATCTGACACATGCAAAACATTGTTCAGGAAGATATAATCATTTAGTTTCACCATTCCTATATGTTCAACCAAAACTCTACTTCCATCAGGTATAGCTATATAATTTTCCAAGTGTGAAGCAAATTTATACTTAGTGAAAAAGTTCAGATTAGAACAAATATGGTCAGTAGCACCACTATCAAACAACCATCTAGAATTTGAGCAAGATAGGAGACAAAGATTACCTGCCATCATAGCTAAGATGTTTGAGGTTTCTGCCTTGCTTATCACCTCCTTTATGAGAGTTCAGAAGTGTCATAATTTGTTTGTACTGCTCAACAGTGATCGGTTTAGCAGAATCATCTTCCATATAATCTGTCTCACTAGAATTCATTGCTGCAATTCTCTTATCTTTGAATCCTTTAAAACCTGGAGGATATCCATGGAGCTCAAAGCACCTGTCAACACCATGCCCTGGTATCTTACAATGAGTACAGTAATACCTAGATCCAGGCCTATCAACCTTCTGATCTCCTGAAAACTGCTTATACTGAGAATAATTGTTCTGTTTCATTGTATTTCCTACTGAATAATTCTTAAAAGACTTATTCACTCCAAGATTGGCGAATTTTCTCTTTTCTGCTAGAAATGTCATAGATTTAGGATTATTATTCATCTGAGAGATTTCTCTGTGCTTCTCCTCTTGAGAAAAAATTCTATATGCTTTAGTAACCTTAGGCAAAGTAAGCATCATAAGCATATTGCCTCTAATAATCCTAAACTTATCAGAAAGTTTCATCATAAACTGTATAACCATCTTCTGCTGATGCCTCTAAAATATCTTCTTAGTCAAGTTACATGAACAATTATTGCAGGTACAATAGGGAAGAGGATGTGCTTCATCAATAGTATCCCAAATAGACTTGATTAAGGTGAAAAATTCAGAAACAGATTGATTTCCTTGACTAATATCAGCTAATTTCTATTCCATAGCATAAATATGAGCTAAGGAAGTGTATCCATACCTCTCTTTCAGATGTAGCCATACTTCTCGTGCAGATCTAAAAAATATCACACTTCCAGCAATACTCTTATCAAGATTGAACAAAATCCAGGAACAAACCAGATCATTGCATTTCTCCTAAGCTTTGTATTTTGGAGTTGTCTCATCAATCGGTTTGCAGTAAGTTCCATTGACAAAGATTGCCTTGTTCTTAGCGGATAATGTCAACATTATAGCTCTCTTCCAGCTCGTGAAACCTTCACCATTGAACTTGAAAGAGACTAATTGAGCAAAATTAGCATTAGAATAGCATTAGAAGGATGTATGTAGTAGATACTTGCAGGATTCTGATTCAGACAAAGAGAATTCTGATTATGTGTGCTATCTTGCATATTTGCTTATTCTTCAAACAATCGAAGCAAAATTACCAGAAAATCAAAGTAACAATTATAATCGGATCAAACAATCTCAAGAAAAATCAAACAAAGCTCAGAGAAATGATTTAAACAACAATCAGAAAGAAATCACAAAGGATTTCAAGGAAATGTATAAGAAAAACAAGAGAATTAGCAATATCAGTAAGAATTTTAGGATAAAAAACAATACAAAATCAGGATTTCTGCTTTGATACCATGATTTTTCTGAAATCAGAGAGAAATTCTAAAGAGAATTGAGAGAAATCAAGCTAAATAGAAACTGTGTGTATTTTTCATTATGAGTGAATGAATAGATTATTACAGCTTAGATTTATATATGGATTCTAATACATAAAGAAAGATCTAGAAGAAAGCCTAACAAACTTTCTAAAAGAATAAAAAACTCTAATTAAGTTGCTATAACAACTCGGGTCTAGCTAGTAGTCTGCATAACAAACTCTGATGACCTGGCAGCTATAGACATCTACTTTTGGTCCCCTGTCCCGACCGGAAGTGCTATGACGATAAATAATTTCATCTTTCGTGCTTTGACCCAAAAAACAAAATGAACCAAAGCTTGTTAATACTAAGCCTAATTAGCAATTAGGCCTAATCCCGAGATTAAACCTAATTTTGACGGATTTAGAAGCGCCTAGGTTAAAATCTAGGGTTGTCGCAGGAAAAACCGAGCGCAACTTAAGGAGTCACGCTAGCCTGGCGCACGCAACTAACAAAGTTGTGCGTGACACCTAGCGCAACCTGTTGAATTGCGCGCAATAGCCGTGCACAACCTGTTGAATTGCGCGCAATAGTCGTGCGCAACCTGTTGAATTGCGCGCGCCACCTGCTGCGGCAGAATGTTCAAATCCCTAAACTCACCCATTCCCTATAAATAGGGGTTCAATACGAGCTTTGAAACACACAGAAATTAACCTAAAAAGTAAGCAAAAACTTGTGAGCTTATGCACTAATCATCCCCTTGTCCTAAACACTCACCCTTTAATTGTTTGTTCTTACGTTGGAGGTTCCCGAACGTACAAGAAGGAGTCCATAAGTGTTCTAAACGAAGATCTAGCAAGGAAAAGTGGTAAATTCCAAGCTTTTAGATAAATCACCTTTTTTTTCTTGCTTAAACAACTTTTAATTAATTAATTAGTGTTGTTTGATCACCTAGAATAAACTTTAATTAATTGATTTCACATAGTATTCTTTCGTTAATCAAGACTAGAATTTGAATAATTAATTCTTATTTTATCACCTAAGCCAAGGTGAATATTGTTTATTTCTTGCTCTTTTTACGAATTTGAATAACAAGAATAACGACATTTGTTACATTGTAGTCTTTATATGATTAATAATGCTTGTAAATAAAACCAACTAACTTAGTTTTAGGTATCATGTTGCATATATTGTTTGGTGATGAAATTGTGAAAAAGGAAGAGCTAGTGGAGGCCACACTTGGGCTAGAATAGCGACTTCCCCCTAAAGGGAACGTTATTTTAGTACCCTCGCTCTGCAACTCATTTCTGGTACAAGTAGACCAATTTGGACATGGGTAAATTAAACTTATGATTCATGCTAAATATCACCTGGGAGAAAGGCATGAACGAGGTTTATGAGTTTTCCTAAAACTCATTGGCGACTCCTTATTATTTTCTTACAAAAAAGTGTAATGATAGAATCAATTCTAATTCAAGGTCCCCCAAACAGTCAGGAATTCAAATCCTAACACACTTCAAAAGTGTAAAGTCTTAGGCTTTTAAAGGGCCATGGGCACAGAGGAAGTGGGATCCCCAACGACGGGCTACCCTCCTCACAGCAGTAGCTTCTAACTACCTTGCTGATGTTTATGTACATACTCAATAAAGGGCATGGTTAACCCTAAAGGGTAGGTAAGCTTTTTTTCTTCCATTGATTTCGACTTGTTTGATGTCAAAGTGAAAAGGTGTATTTTCCACCATTGAAATAGAAGATTGAAGGAGAAAAGAGAAAACAACAAAAGGTTAAAGAAGGAGAGAGAAAATCACAAAAACAACAAAAAGTTGAAGGAGGAGAGAGAAAACAACAGCTAACCAAAGTTAGATGTAAATTACATATACACCTCTTGATAAATATGAATTGTTTATCAATTATAAGGTTATAAACTTGTATTTTCTCAACAATAACTAATTGATTAAAGATTTGTATTGGAATGAAATTCTCAGCTCGTCGTTCCCAACAATGATATGGGATCAATTTTTAAAAGAGCTTCGTATATCGGTAACTTGTTACCCTCCTAGGCCATTCTTTTTAAATCTTTATGTTATGAATTAACAATATGGTATGAGTTATA